ACATGACAGCTAGACAACTGACAGGGAATGTATTTCTCTCATGACTAGTTGTCTTCAAAGACTGAATAAATTATGTAGATACAGGTATTGTTTTTAAGGTTTTGAAACTTTGCTGCTTTGGACATCAAAAATTAATGCAGACCATCAATCTAAGAAAATGTTTTATTTGGGCAACAAATCTGACTTTTTTCAGCTAACAACAGGAGACACCCAGCTGATCCTTTAGAGCTACTGCAGATGAGGAATGTCAATGCAGCTGGACCAGTGGAATAAACAACCTCCATCTGCCTTAATTTACATACAAAATTCAAGCTGTGAGCTCTGGATTGTCTTGATGAGACTACAGGAGGTAATGGGTGTAAGCATCTCCCAAACCACACAAGTCTCGAATATAGCTTCTCTTTGGATGGAATAATTTTATATGTATCCAAACAGGATAGTGAGCTTAAGCCATTCTTGTTCCTTTCTTCATTAACCCTCATCATTACATTTTACAACAGAAATACAATTCTTACATCGCTATGACCCTAATTAAACTGATATGTGCTGTATCATAAGTTGCCAAACAGTAGCTAAACATTGATTCTAACCTGTTTGTACAAGCCAATATACAGATCTACTCTAGGTAGGTTGTCTTTAGGGGATAGTATTTCTTTTAGGAGAAACAAAGTAGAGCTGAAAACAATGGCTTAGAAGCAATAGTAAGCTGGATAATCTTGTATTACTGGTAATGCTTCCACCATGTATGTGGGGGTGCGTACTTGTCAACATCAGAGGATCGGATGTCCAGACAAAACTGCCAACATGCACATTTTAAATAAAGTCCCTTTCTTGCCAAAACCCACAATTGTTTGATAAAATACATGACTATTGCATACTATGAAATTAATTCTGAAAACAGAATTAGCATATGGTTTAGAACTTGTAAAAATAATACTGTTTCCAAGCATAGGCCTTAATGGACAAAATTTGGAAATAGGTAACAATATGAAGGAGATAAGGTTTATGAGAGGCACCAAAAAGACTGGAAAAGACTATAATGATGCAAAAAACTACTGTACTGTAATCAGAAATCAAATCTATTGTTCACAGCAAGTGTTTTCCTCACAAATTGAGGAGAATAGTTATGACTTAACTGAATAAGCAACAGCATGGTGAGCCAATATGTGGTAGAACAAGAGAAATGAAACATTAAGAGGAAAATATATCATCTTATAAGCAGAACTGCGACCCTTAATGAACAATCAGATTCTTTATTTTACATTTTGCCAGAGAATAAAAGATAAAAATGAGGTTAGTAACTATTGGCAACAACTACTCTATGTTAAAAGCTGGAGGACACAATATCTCAGCCTCCTTCTAGGAATAATAGTTGCCTGGCTGTTATATTGACCCACTAGCTTTGATACGTTTGAGCTATCCCCCCTGAACAAATATGCATAGCATTATTAAGTCCTTTATTGCCATTGTCATTTTTGTTCCAGGTCTGTGATTGAAGTGATATGACAACAAAACAACTAAAATTTTCAGGAGAGTGGGGTAATGGCAGCTGCTATGTGTCTCTAATGGCAGATTTCTTTTAAATTGCAGCTTTATCCAAAACCTTTTTCTTTTAGTTGTTTAGACCTGAACAAAAGAGTTAGAACCTTCATTAGAGTTTTATTGCTGTCTCCATTTGGAAGCTTTACTCCATAGATGATTTTATTTTCTTTCCTGCAACCACAGTCAGTGTTGATAGGGGAATTTCCCCCTACAGGGTATTGGATTCTCCTATTGGGAGCCTTCCCAGCCCGAAGAACACAAAGATTACTGCTAGCGGCAATAGCCAACAGGCTGGTTGTACCTACGATGATTGATGGATTGACTTGGCTACAACCAGCCTGCCTATAGATGGATCAAATCCTGGCTGTTCCTTGCTGAAATGGCTGGGATTTGATCCAGTAGTTAGCACTTCTGCCTAGCAGCATTAAGGTTGTTGATTTGAATCCCAACCATGGCACTACCTGCCTGGATTTTGCATGTTCTCCCTGTGGCTGCATGGGTTTCCTCCCACACTTCAAAGACATGCTGGTAGGTTAAATGACTCCTGTCTAAATTGGCCCTAGAATGTGTATGTATATACGAGAGTTAGGGACCTTACACTGTAAGTTCCTTGAGGGCAGGGATTGATGTGAATGTACAATATGTAAAGCACTTCATAAATTGCCAGCACTATGTAAGTACTTGAAATAAATATATAAATCTATGGCCAGCTTTACTCTCAGCAGGGAACCCCAGAGCTATAAAACATTTTTGAGCTAGGTGCCTGGCTGTCTGGGCGAGGTGTACCATGTAACACCTCGTATAAGATAAGGCAAGCTTTCCCAGGAGTTCAAAGAACATTCCCAGGAAACACGATCAGATAACCACTTTTCAAAATCCATTTTTCCCCTATGTCTCATATCTTGGAATATGAGAGACTTACATAAAAACCAGACATAACATCAGATTGGCTAAGAGAAGACAAACAATTTGATGGGGCACTCGCCTTGTTTTGAATACATAGGAAAGCCAAAAAGTAGATCTCGTGAACTGTTCAGTGTATAATTTCATAATTCATATGTAATCAATCCTCAGACGTGTCTGCATAATAATCTACCCACGGGTGGAATCACTTGTGCAGATGGAAAGTTATGGGCCAAAATATGAGTTATGGGAGATTTTGGCTCTAGTTGAGGTATCCGCCCAGACCTCCACGCCCAAAACGGGGTATTGTCCTTGACTTCAGAGACACCCCCAGCTGGGGAACTACAAAAATGGGCTGCCAGGCCTAAGAGAGGGAAGTTAAAGATGTCTCCCATTGTAACATCAGTACCACCTGGGAAGACCCGCGCCCTTTCGCTCTGAAACTTGGATCTGCTAACCCAGGACTTTGGCAAGTACCTTAACCCTTTCACCTCTCTCTGATATCTCTTTGCTGTGCTGTTGGTCTCTGTATATTTATATATATATCTTAGTTACATCTTTTTCTGTAAATATTTTTATTGCACCCGTTTGACCTTTTAGTAATAAATCTTTCCTTCTGAAAGTGTTGAACTGTTTTTATAGCGATTTATTGCAATTTACGAATTCCTGCCTCTAAAAGAGACGCTACTGTGTTTGTTTAACCCTCTGTGTAACCGGCCTGTGGTGACCGTTTTATACAGACGATTATCTCAACCATTATAAAGTTATAGCTGATATCACCGAGTTTCCTCTTTCTCTGTACAAAAAGGAGGTGGTGGCAGTGTGAAGGGTTAATTGCGTAATTAACCTGACCCAGTAACAATTGCATTCAGGCTGCCGGTGCATCGACTGTGGTCCAATTAGCTGGAAAATCGTTGTGCAGGGTGCAGCTGAGTGTGGCATTGTTACGCACGTGACAGCACGGTTTTAGATTGGCTAGTCCTTCGGTCACGAATTTGGTGAGAAGGGCTGATGTCTGAAGCCACGTTCATGACAGTCACCATAACAGGAGGGACACTCTTCTAATAGAGACAACTGTTGTAGTGACCACTATTAATGGTGGGATTTTTCCTTATCTCCATAAAAGGGACCTAGATAGTCATAAAAACATCAATTCTATGGTGTGTGTGGTGACAATCCGCTAGTATCACATCCACAAATACATAGAAAGTCTGAAATACAATAATGGTTCAGACCAGCTATTTACAGTATATTTCCATCTCAATTACCCCTAATCTATTATTGGAGTCCTTTTTATGTTTCCATGTTGGTTCCACATTACATGGATGTAACTCAATGTGTTTTGCAGCTTGTGGCAAATGCTCCTTCCTCAGGAGTGCTTTAGAGGTCCATCTGCAATAATCACAAATATATGCTATAAACCATTACATAGCACAACCAAACCATGATAATATACAATTTTTTAAGAGTTTACAAACATACAATAGTCACTTATTCCAGGACTGTGACAAGGTGGGGCCATACAACCTCTCATAGGCAAATACAAGGGCAACAGAAGGAAAAAAAAAAAAAGTATAGAAGGCCTGCTTGCATTAAACTGCTATGCTATTTATCTTGCAGCTCAGTAAATGCTACAGCTGTGGTTGCAAAGGTTTCCACCAGTCCACAATTATGTCATATGACTGAGACTGAAAATTTGCAGGCAATTTGGTGATAGCAAGGGTAACATGAACTACATCTGTATCACATGAATATGCCCCAGAGCCTATGATAAATATGGATAAATATGAATGTAGTCAACACCTATCCATGAGTCGATTGTAACAGTTTAATCTAAAAATTGTACTACCAATACAGTGGTGCTTACCCAATACCAAAAAAACAAATACACAGGAGAAAACAGAGTAAATATCAATTTCAATTATACAGCTGCCCCTTTAAGTGTTGACACACTAGTAATACAATATGATACATATAAAGATAGGTGTTTGTTAAGTTCTTAATAATACATAAAAAATCCATATACTCATATTCATGCAAATTTAATAACTTAACCCAACACCACACTATGATATAAGTCCTTCACTGGATGTGGATTCAGACCAATCTCCCAAACTTTTCAACACTTGTGTCCATAAAATAGTGCACACTCACCAGAGGGTTTTGACCACTTTTTCCAGGCAGGTCAAACACATCGCACATGCACACTCAGTAATGAAGCAGGGAGCATCCATTAAAAGCATCTAAGTGTAGTATTTATTATAGGTAACGGACATACAGTAGTAAAATATATTATACACTCAAATTGCAAAGTGCCTAGAGTCCCAGCACCAGTGTATACAGCCTATGTTAGATGGTAATCACCATACCACCTCCATTGGCCAGCATGCATTCCAAGCCTCCATTCCATAAGCCGGACGTGACGTCATATGGGACCGGAAAGTATACAGTATCTACTTTTGAGATGTGTAATGGTTGATTATATGAGGTGTGACAATGTATTTCCCAGAATGGACTGTAAAAAAAATGTTTGCTTTCTAATATTCTGTCAAGATTCAAGGCATCATATTTGTGGAAATCTTTCTCATTCCCAAATCTTCTGTTAGAATCTGCTGCACTATTACTCTGTTCATGTTCAATTCTTCTGCCATCATTTGAACACTCAGTCTTTGATTTGAGCGTACGAGGGTTCGTACTGTGTCCACATTTGCATCTGTCCTTTGCATTTTTGGCTGCCCACTTCTTACGTCATCATGAACATCTTCCTGTCCTTCCTTAAACCGCCTATGCCATTTGAAAAAAACACTTGATTTCTTCATGGCATGTTCACCATAAGCCTGTTGTAACAGAACTAGTTTCATTCGCACTTTTGCCAATTTTCCTGCAAAATTTGATGTTAATTTGCTGCTTCAGATTTCTATCACTCATTTTCCGCCTACAACTCAACACACATGTTATTTACTCTACTATTCTGTAAAGACCAAATCAGCTGCTCTGTGATTTAGGCAAGTGCAAATTAGAGTGTGAATGGCCTGTGTGCTATGCTGCAGGAATTCCAGGAATTAAATTGTCACACCTCATATTTGCAATTTTATGGATGGTCCTCTTGCCCCAACAGTTACCTATAGGGGTTTATATGGCCACACCTTGACACAGCCCTGGAATAAGTGACTATTGTCTATAGTAACATGGTTTAGTTCTGCTAATCAATGGTTTATAATATATATTTGTGATTATTGTAAACTGACCTCTAAAGTACTCCCAAAATAGCAGCATTTGCCTCAAGCTGCAAACATGTTGAATTATACCCACTTTTTGTGGAACAAGCATTAAAACAAGAAATGATTGCAATAACAGAGCAACTAAAGTGGAAATATAAATTTCTGGTTTACAAGATCTGGGTTCTGACTATATGGAGGTTTATTTTGTACTTATAAGGAAGGATAATTTGACCATATACAATGAGTGCTATTTGATTTATTTATGTAAAATAAAAATGCAATATTTTTAAAAATTTTGTCTGTTTGAGCAGTACCTCAAAAGTCTGCTCCATTATTGTAATTTTAGATTTTTTATTAACAAAAAAGAAAAACCATTAGGGAGTTTCTAATCCATCCCAATATATTTAAACGTAGAAAAAGGTTTCAAGTGCAGTTTCACCTAAAACCCACAGTTACCATAACAAATACAGCATTTCTGGATTTATTGATTGTTCATGCTGAACTGTAAATGCCTGCAAACATTGAACAAATTAACAGTATATAGCTGCACGCTATAAGAAAATTACTTGTGTATGTGAGTGGTAAGCAGATCTACTTATTCAGTAGGCTTGGAAACTATACAAAATTAAAATATTCTTGCAAGATCTGAAACAAATATCTTTCATGCCTATATGTTGTAAATATATCCAAACACAATAAGAAATCAATGCATAAACTGTATATAGGAAGAACCATGGTAACTGTTAAGCTTTTCACAATCAGCCCATTATACTTCATGTCATGACCCTGACTCGATATTGGTTTCCTTTAATATAGTAAATTAGCATTTTAAAGCAATAGATTGATTTCTAAGGTGTAAAATGAATTTCCATTTTAAATAATAGATTTGTGTGTTTCTGAGAATGTTCCATAGAAGCCATAGCAGGGGGTGATGTCAACAGTCCTGGATGCTGCTGATTAAAGGCTTGTCTTCAAGTGTTAGGTTCCTTCTACCTGGAGCAGCTGGTCAGACAGGAGAACAAAGGTTGTCTTATACATTAGTCTTCTATAAACACTCCTCATGCCAAACACTATTGCCTTCAAGTCAACGTTGAAATAAAGGACTTTCAGTCATATCCTTTTGGGGGGGGGAGAGATCAATGCAAGACAAAGATAATATTCAAGTGCGGAAAGAGCAATTTGTTCACTGAGGTCTGTACTATAGCCTGTTACCAGATCACAGACCAATCCTCCGTAAAAGAAGCAAAAGTGACATTCATCATTTTACATGATAACTTACATTGCTTTTGAAATTGTATTGTAGCAACAAACTCCATAAGGAAGAAGCATATGGAATGGCAATAAATAATAGGATTCCTGGAATAATCTCTATTCTAATTGAATCCATGTGCCCCAAGTTGCAACCGGTCGCTGAGGTCTACTCAAAAGCTCAGGATTTCCAAACAGGAAAAAGAGGTTTGCTCCTGATCATTTCCTTTTTCAAAAGAAAAATTTATCAAGATGTTTCGACTGCTGTGTCCCAGAGAAAGACATGATTAATTATAGCACTAGATTGTTGAATAAATGAGTCTGTGCAACCACTAAACTCCAGACATAAGAACATAATAAAAACATTTTAATGTTTTTCATAAAATCATTAAATGTATTTAACACAGAACTGACATAAGTACTTGAATATGTCTTGATACCCTCCTGTAATTTCCTGCACAGCCAAACCTAGACTGGGAAAGGGAGAGGCAGAACTATGAGCAAAATAACATGCCTGCTGGAAGAAGGAGATGACCTTTTCAACATATTACTTCTTCATTATCCAATCACAGGCTTAGTGTTTGTAGACTTTTACATATACCCAGTGAAGTGTCCTCAGATGACACACAGAGATGAAAAACATCCTCCTACATAAGTTGTACCTGTTTATCTGTAGTATTCTCTTCTCTACAACCATTCAAATGTGTGTTAAAGTGTTACTAAACCCAGGACCCTGCATTCACTATATCTGGTCTCCCACAGTACACAGAACATGGAAGTGCAATTATATTAGTAAATATAAACTGCTAAATACCTTTTCTCATCAGCAGTTAGGGCAGTCTTGTGACTTCTATTAGTGTTCAGCAGACCACTGGTTAAAGTTTGTAGGAGGAGTTTTCGTTCTCCCCTGATTGCCCTATGAGGCTGCATAACCCCTGACATCTGTCTGAACAGTGCTGATTGGCCCTGTGCTCATCACATGCATTCTTTCAAGAAAAAAAACTCTCTAGCAATACACACCAAACTGAGCATGTGCAGCTTGCCATAAGGCTCTGTTATATCAGCAGATGGATTGAGGACAGTAAAAGAAGGTTAGGATCAGAGAGGTCAGGATCAAACATCCTTTTCACACAATGTAGAGGATTAACCCCTTGGGTTCCACAGTGAGTATGACAAGCATGCCTTACTGCATATACAGACTGATTTTACTGTTGTGGGTTTAGTAACACTTTAATTCCAGTGAGTTAGCACAATGCATAGGAAAGGCAAAGTGTGAAATGGGCACTGAATATTATTGCCTGAAAATATGGTCTTACTCTTCATGCTAAGGTTGCTATAAGAGAGAATTGATACACACAAGGAAAGTTCAGTCTTTTAATTTTTGGTAGAAGTTTTGAAATTTATAAACCTTCATGAAATTAGTTTTTTATTAAATATCTGCAACAAAATTTTTATATCTATCTGTCCTGGATATCCAGCACCAACCCACCTAGGCTGTGAGGAGCACCATGGGAGAATGATATAATTGATGCGCTGGAGGCAAAAAGGAACATTTAGGCTCTTTTCTCATTAGCAGTAATATTTACCACCCCCCTGAGAAGCAATCTGTAGTGGATTTTTTTTCAGAGCATGGTGAAAGGGGGTTTGAAGAAATTCAGAAGATGATACCACCACCTCCTGATGTCTGCTTTGTTTTGTTTTTTTTACTGCTGAGCTGCGATTTTGCATTGCAGAACTGTGCTGCAACTGTGAGCCAAGTTTTTGGCTCGAGATTGCAGCATGGCCTCTTCCAGTTACATGGGAGAGTTTGACAGGCAGAGCCTGTCCAACATGTCATGTAGTGTTAAAGATTGCAGAACTGCAATGCAACGCATAATTGCCATAACAATGTATGCTCATCTGAGCGGCACTGTGGGCACTTGCAGGTGGACGTTTGAAGAAGCAGTAAGAACTTAGATTAAACACTTGTTTTTACTACCTCTGGTCACCTATTTGAAATAAAAGAGCCTTACTCAACAAACAAGTTTCCTTACAGCCATTTACTGCACTACAGAGAGCAAATATGGAGGTGTGGAGAAAAAACACAATAAAAACAGGATATAATAACACTTCATAGAAGGTAATGAAAAATCCACACACAGACTCTAATAAACCAGTGCAAACACATACAGTATGTATGCAGTTAGGAGATAAGCCCAACAAGAATGTATTGCACCTGACACTAATTAGAAACCCAATGCAGCCAGCTTGCTTGGACAGGAGTGGGAGCTCCCAGATTTATGCAAAAGATAAACACAAAGAGATGCTGTACAAAAGTGAAGTGCGTCATAATAAAATTTAATAATAAAATACACTCACAAAGATAACATCACAGGTAGCATGACAGTCACAGGCGAATGAAATCTACATCCCCACTACACACTCTCCTGCCCTGGCCATGGGCTGAGTCCATGTCTGTTGAGCAGCCTCAGATGAAGATCCAATGAAACCACTGTGTACAAACCAGTTCAGAGCCAATTCACTGGTGTCCTTCCCTGAAGATCCAATTTGCTCCTGTCAGTCTGGCTGAAAAAAGACAAAACTCCATAAAACCATATAAAAAAAAGTAGTAATGCTATACCCACAGTTCATCCAGAGGAAGGCAAACAAACCCAGCAAAGCATGATCCAATTTGCTCCTGCAGGGGAAAAATTCTTTCTTGATCCCCCGAGAGGCAAATGGATATTCCCTGGATCAACTTTACCTATAAATGTTAGCAAGATAATGTCAGAAGAAGTAGAAATGCTTTCAAGGAGACCCTCCCCTTCATCAGCCTGCCTGGCTGGCTACCTCCATGGCTTATAAGCCAGAATACTGCACACAGTGATACCAAAGATTATTATTTTTAATTATTTTTAAAAAACAAACATGTTATATTCACCTGCTCTGTGCAATGGTTTTGCACAGAGCAGCCCTGATCTTCCCATTCTCAGGTGCCCATGGCTCCTCTCCCCTCCAAGTGTCCCCAGAGCAAGCTGCTTGCTCTAGGGGCACTCGAGCGTGCTCACTCCCAAGCCCCCTTTGTGTGTCCATAAGACTCACAGAGCAGGGCTTGGCTCCACCCCCGATCCCTCCTCACTGGCTGTGATTGACAGAAGCTGCTGCCTCTAAGTCAATGATATGTGAGAAAGCCGAGAGAGTCTTAGCTCTCCTGCACATTAGGAGAGCTGCATATCTAAAGACTACTGTGTGGATAACATGGTGGACATAATTGTGTCATTTATACAAGATGTTGTCAGCACAGCAGTATGCTTTTTTTGAGAGTGCAAAGCACTTCTTTATTGCATGATCACATAGGACAGTGATGTCAAACTGAATTTCTTTTGCGGGCTGCATCATCATTATGGTTGCAC